AAATATGAACTCCTCCATTTCCTTTTCCTTTTTTTTTTTGTTTTTTGTATCAGTTCGTGTCTAAATTCTACAGAATTCACATTATGCGCTTGTCCCTATGCATCATGATATGTGGTATAGAGAAGAAAGTTCTCACCTAATGGCCCTATACACTGCGGCGCACTGTGCAGGGGCTGCGGCATGTGGCACAGATGCTATTTAGTTTGTTTTGCTCTACTTTTTGGTCCCTAAGTGACCCAATTTCACTGTGGACCTAAATTATACCTGAAATTTTAACTAAGAACACTTACTATTCTACACCATATTAACTTACTTAATTATCCTTATTAATCTTAGTAAATTAGGGAATAAAAAAATTGAGATGTTACAATATTAGCACGATTGTTGTTGACAACTTTTTGATATTAATGCCCTCATCACGAATGCAGTTTTTCTAATGACTTTCTTATGGTTGAGAAGATAAAATTTTAACAAGTTGTGTTTGTTTGAAAAAAACTTTATATATTCTTTCTATTTCATTACACTTGAAAATTGTGCCCTAGAGCTAATCATTGTACTATAAATATTGTTATTTAATGAATTTATTTTTTGTTATTATATTAATTGCATGTTCACTATGACAATTGTATCTTGGGATAAACTATAGTGATTGTCCTAAATATCCTTGGTCAATCATCTACAAGGGATCATAGATGAAACATGACTAGTATGACTTTAATTAATTATAGAGATATAAATCAAAGTCATAGGCACTTGAAAGGGTATAAGGTACTGGACTGATCCATTCTAAGAAATCTATATGGTATGAGTCATAAGCTTATCTCATATGTAATCGTATCACTAATCCCTATGACCTGAGATCATTATGGATTACTATATAATGACCACTAAACTTTGACCTAGTCAAAAGTCACCATTAATTGGGTGATCATAAAAGCTATAATTGAGTTTAATGATATTTATGTAGAGGAATATGAGTAATCAAGCTGGAATTTATCCCTCACATTAATTGAGAGATATTACTAGGCCCCTCGATGAGTAAGATTAGAGAAATGTATGGTCATACTATAATAAAAAGGGTTTTTCCACTACTGTGGTCAATCTGCTTAGAGATCAAGAAAGTAATGATTAGGTAAAGGAGAATGATAATTTTATGTCTCATATTTGACCAAAATATCATTTGACAAAAGGGATGTGATGTGGTTATATGATAGGTTACATTGAATCATCGATCCCTATATAATTGGGTGGTCACGATATCTTGCTAAATGTCAGTTGTGACTTATGGGCTAGTAGCATTATTAGCCTATTATCAACTTCATATAAACCTATAGGGTCGCACACAAGAACAACCTAACTTGAGCTATAATGTCCAAGTTTATGAAATCTGAAATATTTTTAGATTCAATAAATATAATGTTTTATCTAGAATGAACGAATTATATGTATATCTTTAAATATTTATCTAATAAATATTTGTCTCTATATGTATATGATATATAAAATTCAAAATATAATAATATATATATATATATATATATATATAATATGTATATCTGATATACATATTATATTATAGTATATTGTATTATATTATATTATTATGTTAGTTTTAAATTTAGTTTTATATGATAAATTAAATTTAATAACTAACATAATATAAGAAAATATCATATCAGTTCTATAATTTAAATTTATGAGATAAATTCAAATTAGGTATGATATCATATATTAAATTTATGAGATAAATTTAATTGAATTTTTGTTGGCTCACAAGGAAAGACAAAAGCCCTAATCGATATAAAATAGATAGGGACGAGTTTTCTAGTGAGCAAGTCTTTTGACAGCAAAACTCTGAGAGCCATAAAAATACCCTAGAAAATAAAAAAGACCATCTGATTGATGGACGGATGGACAATAGATACGGAGAGTGCTTGCATGCTATTTGCATGGATATCGGTAGAGAGAGCAGATCTACATTGTCAACTCCTAAGATTGAAATACTTGAAGAAAACATGTGAGAAGCTCAAAAATAAAAGGTAACTTTTTCATCCACTTTAACTTAAACTATAAAGACTACCTAAGAGAGAGGGTGAATTGGGCTAAATAAAATTTAAAGCAAATAATGCAAAAAATAAATGAAGTTAGGAATGATATCACCAATCAATGCTAAGAATAATGAAGCAAAGCTTTACACATAGTATTTATCCTAGTTTAGCTCTAACCGCTTGAGCTTACGTCTAGTCCTCATGATACTCTTAAGGTTTTTCACTATCTTTACCAAGATTAAGCTTGGCTCTTAGTTGCCACAATACAATTCAGACTCCTTCATGAGTTTATAACTCTTTCTCTTATAGAAGTAATATCAACTTTTCTTTAGCTCCTCAGGCTTAAGTTCCTCTGGTACAAGTAAGTAAAATTGGGGTGAACAATGTAAGTTCAATAATGAACTATTCCTATTGTAAACTCTCTCTAAGAGTAGATATACACATAATGATATTATAGAGAAAAACAAATATGCTTGCAAAAGGTAGCTAGAGAGTGAATGTAGGTATTTGGCTCAAATTAACTTTCTTCTCTTCTTCATAAATGCATCCAATTTATGGTAGATTCTGGGAATTTATTCGTTAAATTCATTTAGTTAACATTGATTACTTCAACTCGGGTTCTTAGAGCTCTTTCATCTTTTAAGGCAATGGAATAATGTCTTTTCGATAGGGTTGCATGTTGTTGATGCCTTAAAAAAGTGATGGCTATATGCATTAAATGCTCTGACAAAACATAGAAAAGATGGATACTGGCAGCATAAACACATATGGGTAGGAAGAAAGAATCAAGGAGTGAATAAGAGCTTGATCTTACCCTTGATTGATATTAAAAGGATTCTTCAATAATAATCAAATGATCACAATACAAGAAAGAACAAGGGATTATCAATTAAGAAAGTTTTGATATGCTCTACTTTGGAATAAAAAAATAAGGGAAGAATCTCTAAAGATATACCGGTAGGAAGTGGGATATATTGGTATGAGTATGAATATTTTAAGAAAGATAAAGAGCTCCATACAGGTAAAAAGGAGATATACCGAAATGATTGATAGTAAAATATGTTGATTAAAGAAGACATCTATTGGTAGATCAAGGACATTTGGGTAGAAGTAAGACATTTGGGTAGAAGTCCAACATAACAATAGAAGTGATCACAAGAAGATTGAATGAGACTAGGAGAGGACATTCCAATAGACCTTGCATATATTGGTAAGATTAAGTTCTTCAGGTAAGTTCAGGATATATAGATAGGAATGTCACAGTTATATAAGCATGAGACCATTGAGTAAGATAGAGATATTCCGGTAGAAGATAACCATACTAGTAGGTTTAGGATAAACCAAGAATTTGAACACACAAGCCTTCTTTCCTTAATCAAGATAATTTTGCATTGCAAAACAACTCCTCGATATTTTTGTAATCATCAAAGCTAGGATTTAACATAAACGAGTTCAATCGATCTACAATCATGATTAAGGTTTTGAATTTTATTCTGTTGCCCCCTTAATCCAATACTTTTAACATTACATATATTAAGAAATGCACTGATACGGGAGAGGAAGCGGAATCGTGCTAGTTCAGGTTCTATCCCGGAACACAAAAGAAATAAAAAAATGAAACAAAGAAATAAATGGATGAATATATGATAAGGGACAAAAATAAAGATAAATGAAATGACAAAGAAAGATAAATATCAAGGAAAAGGATAATTAGAACCCATGCTTCTAACAACCTTAGCCTTTGAGACACCGCAAGAGTTGATTAGACTCTTAATCACATTAGTATTCATTTCAAGATTCCCATGAGCGAGCATAACTTGCACAAAGAGTTTTACCAAACTCAAGAGAAAATTCTTACTTATCACATGGCTGGAAGAGTATATAAGGGGCATATTTATAGGCAAGAGAATAAAAAACTTTAGAAACCCTAACCCTAGAAGACTCCCTCCAAAAGTGGTGCCTCCTCTTGACAAATTAGAAAGATTCCCTAATTTTTAGGGATTCAACAATATAGGCTAGATGGAAGAATTCAAAAACTTTCTTAATAACTAAAGTCTTAATTACTAAGTCAAATCAACTAATAAAAGCCATAATAATAAAAAGAAATCAGTATTAATGCTGAAAATGAAAATGAAAAATGATAAAGTCTTGAAATTCAAACTTAAGCTAAAGTAAGAAGCAATTCAAATTTGCATTGAAGGCTTGAAGATTATGAAAATCATGCCTTCTCTCTCTTCAACTTTGATTATAAATGGCATGCTCCTCTTACCCAAAATACCCTTCAAACATATTTAGTGCATGGTAAATTAAATAGGGTTGGGTTTTTACCAATTAGGCTTGCATCATGTTTTGTTTTTAGTTTATGTAATTTACATTCATTGTTCTTCATTCTTTCTATTTGATCTCATAAAAACCATTAACTAGTCCAAAATGAAGTTTATTTTGCTGATATGGACTTAACGTAATTCACATTTACTATTTAACGCATATAAACTTCTCCTTCTAAGTTCCAAAAAGATCACATAATTTAATAGTATATTATTGCCATTTAAGTTAGCTCATGATCCTTGTAAGTATTTTTTTCATTTGAAGAATTTCCGTTCCAAACATATCAAATCGAAGAAATGAGGATACTGGGGACCCATGCAATGCTGAGAATTTAAGGCCTCCTTAATGGGGACGTTTTTTATCTGTTTGTTTTTTGTTTTTTTGTTGTTTTTTGTTGTTTTTTTTGTTTTTGTTTCAGTTTGTTTTATTCCTTCCCTTCGTATCAAAAAAAAAAAAGAAGAAGAAATGAGGAATAATGAAAATAAACTGTAACTAAAACAAAATACAATTAAATTAAATTACAGGGTCTCAAGTGATATTTTTTCAAAAAAAAAAAAAGAAAAAAATTGGCATGATGATACATTTATTCCAATCAACTGGGAAGGTGAGCGTACCAGCATTGACTATAATCTTATCCGGTTATCCACAACTCTCAAGAAATATCAACGGCTTCCCGCCATACAGACACTCAAGCTGAAGCAAAAACCACCAGAAAGATCAATGGCTTCTTCCATTTTCTCTGTACTTCAAGGCTCTGCTTTTCTTTCTTCTTCGGTATCCCACAAAATCAGCTCTTTCTCCTTTCCAATCCCACCCAAAGCCCCACTCCTTCACCTAAGAAAACCTCTCTCCGCCAAATCTCTTGCGTCTGTCGAAATGGACACTTCATTGTCGCCTGCGATTCAGACCTTTTGGCAGTGGTTATGGGAAGAAGGGGTCATCTCTTCAAAGACGCCGGTGGAGCCTGGGGTCGTGCCGGAAGGCCTCGGACTTATTGCCAGGAGAGACATTTCGCGAAACGAGGTCGTTTTGCAGGTTCCCAAGAGGCTCTGGATAAACCCCGATGCGGTGGCGGCTTCGGAGATTGGGAACGTGTGTAGCGGATTGAAGCCTTGGTTGTCGGTTGCTCTGTTCTTGATTAGAGAGAGGTCAAGGGATGAGTCTATTTGGAAGCATTACTTCAGAGTTCTCCCAGAGGTCACTGATTCGACAATATATTGGTGGGTTTTTTTTTTTTTTTTTGGTTCGGTTTGGTTTGTTGATACAATTATGGGAATTAAGGGCTTAGAATGAAATTGGTTGGTCGAGTTTGTGATTCTAATTGGGTTGTCTTGCTTATTCCAGTGCAGGTCAGAGGAGGAGCTCTCTGAGCTTCAAGGTTAGTGATTAGTGAAGTCGTCGGTTCTAATGCTATTGCTATTATATAATAATCTGGACTTGTGAATTTTTAACGTTTTATTTCTCACTTTAATGAAAATTGATTTATATTTGTGACATGATGAGAGTTTGGACATGATTTCCACGTTGTTACATTTGTACCTTCCTCATCTAAATCTACTAAATGCCAAGTTTGCAAAAGAGCTTTAGAGATCATAATGGGTTATAATTTTGTTGATTGAGATATCTGTAGGTACTCAACTTCTGAATACAACACTAGCCGTGAAAGAATATGTGCAGAATGAGTTTCTAAAACTGGAACAAGAAATCGTACTCCCTAATAAGACGCTTTTCCCTTCTCCGATCACACTGGATGACTTCTTTTGGGCATTTGGAATTCTCAGATCGAGGGCTTTCTCTCGCCTTCGCAATGAAAATCTGGTGGTGATTCCACTTGCAGACTTGGTAAGGGTCATTTCCTTTTCCTCTCCGTTCTGTGGCAGTTAGGGACTTCATCAAGAAACATGTTGTAATGATCCTAAGGCTTGGTTTTGTTTTTTTGTTTTTTGTTTTGGTCGACCTAAGGCTTGGTTTGAATGGAGGAAAAAGTGAGAACATAGGGAGGAGAGAAATTTCCTAAAATAGTAAATATTTTTAATATTTTTGGAAGTTTTTCCTTATAGTTTTCTCTCTCTTTTTTCCTCTATCTAAACCAAGAGTAAGTGTTCCACATTAAAAAGGGAAGGGATGTTTAGAGCTATCCCCTCCTTTTTTGCCTAGCAAACACACCTGTTAGATACCTTTTGGGTAAAATGCACCTCTAATTCTCTAATTTGTATAAGGATTTTATTTAGTTTTTTAATTTTATAAAGTATCTTTTTATTATTTAACATTAACATTGTTTCAAATGAATTTCTTTTCTTGTATCAATCATTGCTATATTAAAAAATTAAACTTAATATATCAGCATTTTATAATGTGTAACAATATTTAAAAGTTCAATATCGAAATTTTTTAATGAAACTAGCGGTGTTAAAGTTAAAGGACTGAAAACATATTTTATAAAATTAAGGAATCAAATGAAATCTTATATAAAGTTAAAGGACTAAATGTTCATATTAACCAACCTTTTTCTGTCACTATAAATATTTGGGAAAAATGACAATCCAACCCCAGTTAAGAAAGATATTGACAATTTAGTCCCGCAAATGTAATAAACTGACTTGGGTGGCCAGCAATGGTGGTCCAGTAGGTGACGACAGTGGTCTAGTGACTAGGGAGGGTGGAAGGAGAGATGGGGGAGAAAAAATAAAGAGAAAGGGCTATTTGTTCTCACTGTAGTTTTGAAAATGGGATTAAATTGTCATTTTTCCTAAATATTTTCCCTTTCCCAATCGATATACTGTAATTGTCTCTTCAACTATAGTAATAAGATGCAAGAATTGAATCTTGGAGTGAAAGCATGAGAACTTATGAATAGCATTACTTTTTACAAATTTTATATCATAAATATAGATAGATTAGATTCATGAGTTGGTTTTCAAATACCAAGGACACGTGACAAGATCATATAAAACTGAATTTATAATATCTCTCGAGTTGACATCATTTGTAGTCATTTTCTATACTTCTACCAATATGTTGCCTTACATTGAAAGATTTGACGTTTTGAAATTTCTATTTGTGGATCAGATAAACCATAGTGCGAGAGTAACTACTGAAGATCATGCATATGAAATTAAAGGAGCAGCAGGCCTTTTCTCATGGGATTACCTGTTTTCCCTAAGGAGCCCTCTTTCTGTCAAGGCCGGGGAGCAGGTGAGTTTGTTTCTCCTCTTCTTTTCTCTTCCATCGTCCAATGCCAAGCTTTCCTTATTATCAGAATGAATATGTTTAAAGAACTGCTACAAGGTTTTGATACCACGAGTCCCTCATCCATCCAGGATTTGGGTCCAGTGTGTGGCCTAGGTGTGTTCACTGAATGAATTTCTCATGTGGCATGATAACAAACTTTCAATTTTATTGAACGGCTGTAAGAAATTTGGTCATATATTACTTAAAAAGTATTAGATTTTTCAAATTTTTGGACAAAACAACATATGTGAGAAGTGCTTTGATCTTGAAGATTGTTTTGAATTTTTGAAGTGAAATGTATTTTGATAATTTTCAAATATTGATGGAATCTAATGACTGTAATCGAGACACTCATTAAGTAAGTGGATTTAGGCCACTCACCAAATCTAAATCCATGTACTCCCTCCATTTTGGAATATAAAGAATTTCAACCAACTCACATAGTTTAAGAAAGTTAGTCAATCTTAGGGTCTGTTTGGATTTCAGTTGGGTATAATAGATTATGAAAATAATTGATTAAGTGGTAGATTTTAATCATAATTGATTATGTTATAACGTAATCTGTTTGGATACTGTTTTTTTAAAATTGATTTTAACAGAATTGAAGATATTTGGATAATTTAATCAAAATTAATTTTTAACTATATAATTTAATTTTTAAATATCAAATATTAATTTTTTAAATATATAAACTTTAAATTTTATTAAGGAAAAAAAAAAGAAAAAGAAGAGAGTTTAATTTTATTTTATTAAATTATGTGCTTTCTTTGTAATTTTTTCCTGGGCCTGTTTTTATAATTTTCCCCAACGTTTTTGACAAACTTTTGGCAGAAAGCGGACGAAGGGAGCTTCGGGAAAAACGCGCGTTTTGGCCCAGAATTGATTTTTGATCATTTTCGACTGTTTGGATAGATTGACAGAAAAAATCGATTTTGGGTCCAAAACGCGCGTTTTCTCCTTATCCAAACGAGGCACTTAATAATTATATCTGAAATTGAAATGCTTGGGACTAACATGTTCGTATGATAAAAAAACAATGAACACAGAGCAGTTTTTCTTATAAAAACGGAAGGAGTAGCGTACAGTACAGCGACGCAAATTAGAGCTCCAATTAGATCTTAATATAATGCATTTGAAGGGCAACTGAAAAGAGATTAATACGAATGCAAATAAATTTACCCAGTTGAGCCATGCTGCATCACTTTCTTTCTCAACAGATAATAGTATTTCTTGAAGATAGAAAATAATTAGACGTCTCATCTTGAATATCTTGCATTTCTTTATTCTTGGCCCTCATAATCATAATCAATTATGGACTCCAAAACACGGATACACCTGTTTGTGTTTTAATGTTTCAATTTTCTCCCACTTGTGAAACATAGTCTTGACACTGTGGACACAACAAAACATGTATCCAATACATGTAAAGACATATTAAAGTAAGAAGGAAATGCATTTAATATAAATTTGGACCGAGCTTGGACACTATGATCCTTAAAAGAAGTGAAAAATATTAAATAACATAAAATGAAATTAAAAGTCCTATGAAATTTCCCTTTGCATAATACAATCTGACATACTTCTTATTCAATAAATTTAGTTAAAAAGGTTACAAGTGTTTGAAATCTAAAATTTCACCTGCACACACAAAATGTTTATAATTTTGAGCACTTAACTTATATTTATTTGCCAATCCAGCTCGTATTTATATCCTGATCTGTTTGCCAGAATTTTTAAAACCAGTAGATTCATTTCAGTGTAGAACTTACCAGTGTTTAGTTTATTCACATAAAGCTAAGAAAATAAAAGTATCTACGGTTTTCAATAATAAAAAATAAAAATAAAAATGTCTGCAACTGTATAAAATCTTCAAAAAGGAAAAAAAAAAAAAAATCCTCGACCCTATGGTCAGCTTCAAAGGGATGAATCTCATGGGAAGGTGAACCTTTACTTTCATTTGTCTATATACTTTTGGGTTAAAGGGCAATTTAACTCCTAAATTATGGGGCTAAAGAGTGTTGGGGACCCTAAACTCATTTTTTTTTACAATGTTCCTTCCCAACTTTTGAAAACAGTGCATATCTCTTAACATTAACAAAAGTTAACTATGATTGTTAGTTGATCAAAAATGATTAAAAAAAGACCAAGAAAATTATAGAAAATGACTAAGAAAATTATAGATGAGGATCCAAAAAATTTTCTTTGTTCTTTTCTGCAATTTTTGAGGTTCTTTTTTAGTCAACTTATGGTTAAAGTTAATTTTTGTTAACTGTAAGGGCTATATTGCATTGTTTTTAAAAGTTGAGGAGGAATATTATACAAAAAATGAGAGTAGGATCCCAGACATTCTTAGATATATAGTTTAGGGATCAAATTGCTATTTAACCCTATATTCTTTTTTTTTTTAAAAAAAATTCATCCTCGGTGATCAGGATTGTCCTAGGTAGGTTGGTGATGGAAATTATAATTCCACATAACAATGGTTGGAATTTTTTTTGCTGCAGATATTTATTCAATATGATTTGAAGAAAAGCAATGCAGAGTTGGCTTTAGACTACGGCTTCATTGAACCAAATGATAACAGGAATTCATATACCCTGACACTACAAATATCTGAGTCTGACCCCTTTTTTGATGATAAACTAGACATTGCAGAGTCCAATGGTTATGGTGAGACTGCATATTTCGACTTCTTCTTCAACCGACCACTTCCACCAGGCCTGCTTCCATATTTGCGTCTCGTGGCACTTGGTGGCACTGATGCTTTCTTGTTGGAATCTCTATTCAGAAACGCCATTTGGAGCCATCTTGATCTGCCCGTGAGCCGTGACAATGAGGAGCTAATATGTCGAGTTGTTCAAGATGCCTGTAAAACTGCCCTTACTGGATATCATACCACACTTGAAGAGGTATGCATGCGTGGCTTTGTTTCTTGCCTGACATCGTTCTCATGTGAAGCAACACATTATTGGTATATATGGATTTTGTTACCTAACTAGCGTTTCATTAACATCTGGAAGGTTTTTTTAGGTAAATTTAAACTGAGCTTAATATTTCTGAACAAACTTTCAAATCCTAAGAAAGACTTGAAGGAATTAGGGAAAATATAATTATTGGTTCCTATAATTTTGATGTGTTTTGGTATAGGTCTTTGTAGATTTTTTTTAATTGCTCCAAGTCCCTTTAGTTTATCCCTATCTGCAACATTAGTTCCTCTATTTTTTGAATATGCCTAGAAAGACAATGAGATCACAACAAGTGTTAAATATACTGACATGTGACTAACGCTGTTAATCTGTGCTGAAATGAATTATTTTAACAGATTAACAGAGATATCCACCCCATTCTATTCCATGTTTCATATTTCAATCTATTGAATCATAATTCCATCTCTACACAGATTAACGGTGGTAGTCACAAGTTAAAATATTTAATATCATTAGTGCCACCTTATCATTCTTTTGGACATATTCAATATAAAAAGACTAATATTGTAGATGGGATAAATTAGAAAGACTTGAAACAATGAAAAAAACTACAGGGACTTGTACCAAAACATATTAAAACTACAAGGATCAATAGTCATGTTTTTCCAAGGAATTATAACATTATTAGTGTTTGGTAAGGGTATATTGCTATCTATAAGATGTTGCTGTTTGATATGCTCATATCCAAGATGCTCAGGGGCTTTCAAAATACTTTGACACATATATAACAATGTTATACCACCTAAAAATCATGGAGATATCACCTTTTCCTTTCCTTTCCTTTCCTTTTTTTTTTTGAAGTTATCTTTGTTAACTTCAAAAAAGAAACTGGGGTATCATTTCCATTGCAATTTCAATTGGCAAAATAAACACGTGAATTATAAATGCCATGGTATTTAATGCCTTCCTTGTTGGTATCCTATTCTATGTTGTCAAAGCTAATAAAACTATAAAATAAGAGCTTACCTTACTGCTTCAATGATACATTGGATAAGTATTACGGAGCAATGTCTAAAGCTAAAATCAACCGTGCAACATTTTGTTCATCGTTACTTTTTTGTTTCAAAAACTATGACTTAGAACATGGTGTGAATTTGAAGCCGATTAAATTCTCAATAACTGACTGAACACAACATGTGAATGACAGGATGAGAAGTTAAAAGAAGAAAAGTTAGATTCAAGGTTGGCAATTGCAGTGGGAATAAGAGGAGGAGAAAAAAAGGTGCTGCAGCAGATTGAAGATATCTTCAAGGAGAAACAGGCAGAGTTGGATCTGTTAGAATATTATCATGAAAGGAGGCTCAAGGATCTTGGTCTTTGTGGAGAAAGTGGTGAGATACTTGGGGATCTCAGCAAGTTCATGTAAGATCGCAGAAAAAGTCCCTTGAACTTGCACTATGTTCTACATTTCTAGAGGAAGAAGAGAAAACATAACTTGGTAGAAGGGACTCTCTCAAAGAAGAATTTGTGCTACTGACTCAACCAATTCATGGAAGAGGGTCACAGTCTGTGCTTGATTGCTGCTTCCACCAGAGAGACATGTACTGCAGGAATTACAATTCCTTCTGTACTAATTATATAACGGTTCAACAGGTGTAGTAAGAATCAGAATGAACTTTTGGATGTTGAAACGATGCTGGTGTCGAATTAATCAATGAATGGGAAGTGAAGCTGAAGACCTAAATCAATGAATGACGGTAGTCAGAAGTGTTTTAGGACAATGGATATACCTATGGTCTACCAAAAATGATGCCCTATCGAGCTATGGAACAATGAAACGGAGATTCCAAAGTCACGCAACAGTAACCATGTCAGAACAATTATTTCCATTCATACAATCCACTTTACTACTACAACTAACCGGGATTTTCACCGATACCCATCAAGAAACAACGAGATAAATTAACCTTGATCAATACTTTTGGGCACTCGTCAAATATTAACATCCAATAACTCGTTCTGTCTCTTTGTCGTTTTTTTTTTTTTTTTACACTAACAAAATTGAACATTCAAAATTTGGGCCATTCTCCATTTAGAAGTGGAGTCCAATGACCCGATACATACTACGTATACTATTAGAGGTTAGAATGACTCAGCATGAACTGTTTCATGTCTTTGAATTATGTGATTAATATGAAAAACTATGTGGTTATATAATAAATAAGGTTCATGTGTGTGTATGTAAATATAATAATCCTTCCTCGCCTCCTTACAGGTCTATAGACTCTTCTCACTTGTATGCTTTTTGAGGTTTTGTTGTTCTTCTCCCTCGTCTGATCCTGGAAGAAATTGTTTTATCATGGAGAACAGATAAATATAATTTGTTTTGTGGGTTTTTGTGTTGTTCTTTTCGGCTTTATTTCTACTAATTTACTATACACACTTTAAAAATAAAATATGCCAGCATTTAATAATGGCAAAAAAATAAAGATAGACACAACAATCATTGAGATGTCATATAAATAAGTCTAAAATAAATACCCTCACAGCTTTATAAATAAAATCAAAGGATTATTTTCTCTATTCCATCAATAATGTCAATTCATAAGATTTGGATAAACCAATAATTCAAGCGGGATAATCTTATTCAGAAAAAGTTCAATTCAAGTTGAACTAAAAATATTTGAACGTATAAAAAGGTTTTATATAACAAAGCCCGTCCCTAACACTTTATGCTTTCGGATTGAACCAAATAGCTAAATTGTTAAATATTATTTTTTTAACCAATGTCAATTTTTATCTTATATCAATTTAATTTTACTTATAATAAAAAAGAATTTGAGTTATGCCTGATCGGGTTAAGGCATGCCCAAATTTTTTCAACCTTATTTGTGCAATATAAATAAGCCTAAAGTAACAAAATTTTTTTTGAAAACTCAAACCCAACCTTAAGATTTTTTAAATTTATTTGAGTTGATTGGGTTTGGTTAGAATTACTAATTTTAGATTTGGATTAGTCTAGAGTGCCAAAGGAGGAAACCTTTTAGATTGTAAATTTATGTCAATACACGAGCATTTCTTCTCCAGTTTAACATATAAATTAAATACAAGAATAACAGCATCGTGCACACGAATTGAAATTCAAAATGCATACTTCGTTCCAGCAAAAATATGTACAAGCACAATATTAGAAACAGAAGCTTTAATTTTAGATTTTTGATTCAATTTTCATTGTCATATCTTATACTCATTGTCATGTTAATCACTCAATAAATGTCAAACTTAGGAAAAGAAATATCAAACTTCATCCAATTTACTTGGGGAAAAAAAACACAAAAAGAAAACTGAAACGTTCTCTCAATTGCTGAAAAGCAAGAATCAACCATATGAAACAGAATTCATTTTCTCCGCCAATAATGAGAGTAAAATCACGTAGAGTAAATACTCAATAAAATTTTTTTTATACTTCATTCTAACTTTTATTTCGAAAAGGAAACAACTTTCTTATGCCAAATAGGAAATACAAGGAGTTATATCCAAAATTCAAAAAGGAGCGAGGGAGGCATATAATAATATCATGAAAAAGTAGTTCCTGACACGGGACTTTTTCATTGAGAGTTAAAAATGGAGATGACCCTGCGAATACAAATGTATTAACTCTGATCCTGACGATTGTTGAAAAGGGTAGCAATTAGTGATCCGCCACAGGGATCTTTTAAAGAAGGGAAGTATAGCCCGCCATGTTCCCGAATTTCTTTCTTCACTATATTGGAAAGAGGAGATTAAACTCCAAGTATACAGTAATAATACTATATGTATGAAAATGCCTGATCCTAATAAATTCAAACCTTATAAGCTCTGACTTTAAGGCCTCAAGCTTATAAATTTTCTTATCCTAATATGAGCACTTTTTTCAAGTTTGATATTTATCGATAAGGCTCAAAGTTGAACTTGAAAGTCTACGTTACTTTTTTTTATTTTTTTTTTAAATTAAAATGATAAGGAAGAACCGCACCTAAGCCCCCATATCAAAGAAATTGGCACCTAAAGGCCCATATGCAATTTTTTTTTTGGGTGAAGAGACTTACTTGGCCCTTGTTTGAAAAAAATAACATCACGCATGGAAATCCTGAACCATGAAGCAATGCCAGGTTTCTTGACCTTAAACCATGAAGCATCTCTTGCATTTGATGTTGTCTTGACTCAGCGGACTCATTTTAGGTGTTTTGAAGCCATTTTCTCTAGCATTGAGGGACAGGGGTTGTGAAAAGAAGAATCAAAATGAGAAAGATTGAAGTAGACAAACTCATTTCATCATCGACGAAGCCGTCTCAATGGCACCATCAGTTGACCCATTTGTGAGAAGATTTCGCATTTACAAGCTTCTAGGTGAGTAAAATTTGTGATTTCTCATCTCTTGGTTGCATGTAAAACCCTACTACAGGAAACCTATATTCATGGTGAATGGAGATTGGGGTTTTTTTTTTTTTTTTTAACAAGCATTAAGTTGTCAATATGTGAACATCTAGTTTTTTAAAAATAAAAACTTTTTTTTCCTATCGCTATGAACCTTAAGTTATGAATATATGAAATTGTAAATTATACACTTTAACTTGTCAAAAGCTGAACCTGTGCTTGTCAATATTTGAACTTTTAATTGTGAGTTTTTTAACTTTATCAACACATGAACTTAACTCTGAACCTTGGCTGTCAAGATATAGACTCTTGCTTGTAGACTCTTGTAAATATACGAACTCAGACTTGGCAACATGTGAACCTTTTCTTGTTAACATTTAAGGCTACAGCGGGTAAAAGCTTAGCAATTACTTCATATGATTTAATAGTTGTCTAGATTGATTATATTGCTAATTTGTACAAATGCATAAAATAGTTAAGGAGAAACAACCAAAAAAGATCTATCCTTCTGCAAGATGTTGTGAGTTTGGGAAAGAATTCTTGGGGAAGAATAAAGGATAGTATAAGAACTTGGCTGACTCAAATGATGTGTTGGCTAAAATTTGGAAAAAAGACGAGTGAAGAGGAGAGGGAGCCTTATAAAATCAATGCCCTTGAACAAAGAGTAGAGAGGCACCCAAAAAAAATATCAAAGGCCTTTCAAAACATCATGCTCTCCTCTAAATTCAAGGAAAATTTTGACTTCATCAAGGGGAATCAACATTAAAAGGAGAAGGTAAAAGGAGCTAGGTTTGGTAACTTGTTGGATTTCGTAGGCATGAAAATTCTAAGAGAGTAAATGCCGGGAGTTATTGCATGCCTACAATCCTTCGATAAAGAAAAATGCAATAAGAGGGAAAGCAATACAAGTTAAAGCAGAAGACGTTGAGCAACTGATGGGGCTACCCAATAGGTGACAGGTAGTGGAGGTGAATGCTATCAAGGGTAGGACAGCAGAGTGAAGAGAGATTATTCAACAATGCCATTGAACAATTTGAAGAAGAAGATAACTTTAGGGGCAGAGGATGAGAAGTTTGAGTTTAAATTTGTTTTGTTCATAATGGGAACTCTATTGTGTCTCACTGCAAGTTCTAAAGTTAGTGATAAGTCATTGAAGGTAATTTCTTTTACAAACAATTCCTAGTCATAATTTAATTAGGCCACATTTGTCTTGGAGGAGTTAGGTAGGGAGATCCAATTCTACAAGGAGCATGTGAAAAAGGGAAAGTCTAGTTCACCAAGAAATATTGGGGGTTGTTTCTACTTCTTACTAGCAAGCTGCATCATATTTCATGGTGTAATTAACTTTGGTTCTTAGGATTATTTTGACATTAAATTGACGTTGTAGATTTTTTATCTTCAAAATTTTCATTGAACCAAGCATATACCTAGCTATGAATGCAATGGGGCGCTAGATCGAAGAACAAGTTAATGAAATAGTGAAGGCTGGGCATAAAAGCTACCATGGGCTTTTGTACGTTAAAGGACCGGCCAATATTGATGCCAATCCCAATGTTTCCACCCCAGTTGCCTCCAATAATTGCATTTCAATAAGTTGTGTATTAAATTAACTTAACCTTATTTGTGAACCTGTAGTTTTGAATATGTGGACCCTCATTTTGTGTTGGATATCAAGGATGTCGATGTGAGAGTGATGGGTTATATAGACAAGTTGGGTTTTGTCACTGTTAATATGTGAACCTTGGCCCGTTAATATGTGAACCTTAGCTTGTTAATAAGGGTTGAAACCTTGTATCTTGTGTAGGAAATAAAGGACCTACAAGTGAGAGTGATGTCATATGTGGGTAATAAACTGCTGAAGCTACAATCAAAGCGAGCTATCATACAAGAGGAACTAAATGTAGGAGAAGAGGAAGTGGAACATGAAGAAGATGGAGACAAGGATAAAATTGAAGATGTAGAATAAGATGATGATGATGATGATGATGACATAGATGCATCTTCAGCTAAAGATCAAGGGAAGCCAAAAGAATAAGAGGACACATATGCATCTTTTGCCAAAGAAGAAATAGAAGAAGACGAGGAGGAGGGGGAGAAAGAGACAAAAACAGCTAAAGAGGGTAAATGAGAAGAGAAATAAGAGACAGATATATCTAAGGGTAAATAGGAAGAAGAGTTAGTTGAGGAAGATAAGGAGGATAAATACACAAAAATAGGAGAACAAGAGGAGGAGGAGAAAGAGACAGATGCCGGCGAAGAGGGTAAAGAAGAAGAGAAACCAAAGACAGATGCATTTGAAAAGGGTAAAGAAGAAGATAAATTAGTTGAAGAACATAAAGGAAACTTCCAATTAGGAGATCTGAGTGAAAAAAGAATACTGTCATTAAATCTCCGTGAATGCCCCTTGTTGCCACCAAGGAAAGGAAATTGAGTGACAAGCAACGACTATATGTACTCTGGACATAGTAATGTATAGAAGAGAATGGTCAAGAGTAAGTAAAAATACTCTGTGGATAAAAAATATCACATTGCAAAGTAGCTTATTTATTTGTTTTGTTCATTTGTCACAAGATATTTGTCCAAGTATATGACTTTCACCTTACGCTGTGTGAGCTACGTTGTCTTGGACCAACACAGTGGATCGGTAATAGGGTACATGTACAATAATTATCTTCCTGTAAATCACAACGAAGGTCCATTTATGTAAAACAAAATGTTCGTGTGTAACAATGAAAGTCTATGACATTTCAAGTAATTATAATGGTAAGCTAGACTCTTGTAGGTGAGTAAAAAGAGTAGTCATCTCGACTTACACGACACCTTTTTTATGCTAAGTTCATGGATAAGATGACAGAGAGTCCATTACACTTGAATGTTGATGCTTGCACAAAGAAGATACTACTATGGTATTTGGGATATATAGGAGAATGTGATTTCTTATTTGAGCTTACAATTGTTGGTAACAACTAATTCTGCTTTGTGATGGAGCCAAGGACAATAAACTTTTATGTTCTTGATTCTTTGATTATGAACAATTGGCCGCTAAGGAGGAACAAATGAGAAAGGAAGGAAATAAAGGGAAGGGAAAGTTGGGCAAAAAGCTTTAAAAGGATCCAATTTATCAAAAAAATTATGTCATAGACACTTGTGCACTCTTTTACATTTTAAGTTATTGGATGTTCATGGTTAATAATTTTTTGAGTATTTTTTCCTTTTTACCTAAAAACAATTGTATAAAAAAAAACTTTTAAAAAAGACAATAACATTGACTTTTCATCACTCCATCCAACTTTTCCACCCAATTCAATAAGCCAATCAATAGAAATTCCTTTCCAACGCGTTCAACCTCACATTCCAATTTACAGACTTACATTGCAATATCTTTTTTTTTTTGGTACAATATATTGAAATATCTTTTGTTGTGTGTGTATTAAGGCAACGTCGAAATTTTTAAAATCTACACAATCTTCTATGTAAATACAATGAAAAAAAATCTCAAATAATAATTTGAAAAGTTTTAAATGATTATTGAAATGAAATGATGTCAAAACAGACAAATAAAAATTAATTAAAATGTCATTTTTCATTTCTATACTTGACTTTCATAAACTATTATCTACTCAATAGGCAAATTATATACCATACTTAAATATTAGGAAAAAGGACAAATAAATCCCTCCAAAATAGGAAAATAACAGTTTCATCTCATAAAGTGTGATAATGCCTTCTAAATCTCAAGGGACCTAATGTCATAAAAAAGTGAAGAAAAATAACGGGAGAAAGTTACGAATACCTAAACTATTTTATCATCTATTAAGCTAGACTTGTAAGTTTCAAAACTAAAGTTGTGAATGAAAAAAATTTTATTGCACTTTGCTAATTGAAAAAAAATGGTAAGAAAAAGTTGCAAATGCCTAAATTAACTACTTTAAATCATTTACTGAATCAGAGTTGTAAATCTTAGAACCAAAGCTATGAAAAAAAAAAAAGAGCTTTATTACGCTTTGCTGTTTGAAGAAAAATGATAAAAGAAAATTGTGAATGTCTAAACCACTTTAATCATTTGCTGAACTAAAATTGTAAATAAACAAAATTTGTTGCATTTTTTTAAAATTAAGGGGTATTTTTATCATTTCATTAAAAACTTTAATGACAATTAAATCCTTTGAAACTTAGATGACATTATCATATTTAAAGGGACCAACTTGTCATTTTTTTTATTTAGAGGAATTTATTTGTCATTATGTCTAAATATTATTTCCTTCGGCATGCCAACAAAACATTACAAGTTTTAATATAAAATACATCAATACAACAACATATCCTCCTCTAACTTCGAGCCAATTACCTTAAAATATTTTATATAGTCCCATTTTAACATTCAGAGACATCATAAACTTCACAATCTCCCTTGCATATGAAAAGACATTGTTCAATTTTCACTCACATTGAATATTCCATGAGACCATATGACACGAACTTCCCGTACAATGTATTGGGAGTAAGATCTAGTTTGAACTTTAAAAGAAGAAAGACAGCATATATAGTTCATTGGGATGAAATTGTATGCAAAATGACAACATCAAATAAGCCAATTCAAGGCCAACGATGAAGATGAGCGTGCATGACATTGTAGTCATGCTCACAGCTACGATGATCTGAGTTTAGAGCTGATTACAATTCTCGCTCTAGATCGTTAAGAGATATATCGATTAATGGTCGAAATAATGAATGTTTAACGAACGAATAACGTTGCATCATTTTTTAATATTGTAAGGATGACATGTACCACTTAATCATAATTTAGAGTAGAGTTTAATAACAATATTTAAAATTAATGGAGGGGGATAGGCTCTCTCTCTTATATCCTTTATCTGTTTTTGTAATTATCAGAAGATTAATTAATTATTTGGCAATTCTTTTTTTAGCCAGATGGTCCCTATTTGGATGTGATCCCATTTACCAAAGAAACAAGAGCAACGAGTTAACATAGGAATCAACACCAACAATATAAGAGCTTTGACTTCCTCTTCCCAAATGGCACTTCATAATTCTTCAGACGACCTACGACGACGTGATCACCGTCATCGGCTGGAGAGAAGGGAACAGCCTTGTGGTTCACCGTGGTCGATCTTGTCGCCGCCGGTGAATCAATCAAGTTTTGTTGTTCCTTTTTCTCTGCAATAATAAAATTCAATTCCTTCAATTCAATAATTCTTCCACCATCATGTCTGGATTCAATCATCATCATCTTCTTCTTCGTCTTCTGGTTGTGGTGGGCTTGTTTTCGTCTTTTTCTCAGTCATTTAGGTTCGAGCTTCAACTAGGTCGCACCAAATGCATCACCGAAGACATAACCAGCAATTCTATGACTGTCGGAAAATACCACGTTGTCCCTATCAAACTGGGTCTTCCTCCCCCTGATTCCCACAGAGTCAACGTTCGGGTACGTAACCTTTAAAAGCAATTTTGGATATTTGTGAAAAATAAGCATTTTTATGATATATGATTGGGAAAATGAAAGAAAAATTTCTCCAAAATCTGTAAATGATAATGAAGTATGGTGAAATGCAATAATTGTTTTGAAGTCCTTTGAGAACTTTCTCACCTTAATATTTGGGAAAATAGCAATTAAAAACTTCTATATCAAATTTATATCAATTTTTGTTGCAAAATTTGAATGGATACTTATTGATTTGGATTAATCTTTTATCCACAAATATCCATTCAGACATTAACAATTAATTTTAAATTAACAATGGTCCATTTGGCTTGTTCTCCATTTAAATTTTGACAACAACTTTTCTTTGATTAATGTAAATTTTATATAAAAGTCTTTGATTGCTATTTTCATTTAATGTCTTTTTGTGAAATGACTATAATACGCTTAGTTGAAAATACAAAAATAGACAAGTGGTTAAAAAATTTGCAAAGCGAAACTTGTTATTTACTATCTCGTTTTAGTCATTGCAAGAAAAAAATTGTCATTACGTAAATGAAAATAGTCACTGATATTAACAATACTTGAACTTTAATAATTAAAAAAAGTTTGCAAAGAAAAAATTATAATTACTTATTCTATTTTAGTCATTGTCAAGAGAAAAGTAATTGTTATTTAAATTAAAATAATTATTAATATTTATAACATTTGAACTTTAATTATTAAAATAATTGTAATGCAGAACTTGTCATTTATTATTGTCTTAGTCATCTAGAAGAAAAATAGTTATTAATTACTTAAATAAAAGTAGTCACTGATATTTTATATTGAGGTCATTATAATCATTTTATAAAAGACATTAATGTCAGAAAAATCTAAAGAATTTTAAAAGAATTATCTTATTTTGTGAGATTTCATTGTTATTTACATATTTTAGGAAGATTTTTCTGTCATTTTCCCTCCTTGATTTCACTCCATTAGTTTCATTTATTCATTATAATGTAAGCTTATCTTGGAGGTTTCAAAAAAATTGAGCGAACCTTAAGAGTGCCACATCAACGAAACATTTCCCGTTATTCATCAAACACATATAGTTAAACTTTAATTTATATTTTATATTGATATTAATATTTTTTGGAAAAAAAATTGTCATGTTGTATATTACGTAGCATTACGTTAAATACAAATGTACAACTTTATAAATCATATATGAAGTTGTGATAACCATAGACAAACACAAATTACTACAATACAATGTACATATAGGTTGAATAATTGCATTCACTAGCAACACTAATGGATAGGGTTCCTTCCATACACTCCAAGTACTTCACGAAAGAAATAATTTAACAAAAGAGGTTTATTCATATTCTTGCTAGATTGTGATATCACTACCAATTTTGATTCAATATTTATCATCTTCTTGAACCTACAACCTTTCAATCAACATATAAATAAAATATATTAACCACTAATTAATTGCCCTAGAACAGTCTCCCACTTATGATGAGAGGTTTCTTGTTTAAATTTTTTGTTTAAGGCATGTGATTAAAGTAATAGGATTTATTACTGAGTTTGGCGTCGTTACTAAATATTAGTCAATAAAGATTAAAACCATAACTTTTAAAAGATAATTGATTCATGAAAATAAAAAATAAAAAAAAATCTAGGGGCCAAAAAATGAGAACAAATATATTTTCTCTAGTTCTTAATATAAGACGAAGTTTAAAAGATTTTTTTAGTATTTAATATAGATGAAGTTAGAGTAATTTTTTTTAAAAATTTTACTCCTTGTTTATTTATTGTATTTTGAATTTCTAAATAATATTAATCTTAATTATCTTATTTATAGGTCATTTTCAACATATTTTTTCAATATCAAGGAAAAACTTTAACCTCATTAACTCTATTTAAAAATTTAATAAATTTTTAACTTCGTCCTTTCTAAATATACATGCTTTAATAATGTATTTTATTTCTTCAACATTTAATAAAAGATAAAAGAAAAAATTGTGATACAAATTTAATGATGAGACTTACAAAAGTGTTTAATTTTTTTTCTTTATACCTTATAAATAAGATCAGATAGAGTAATTTATTATGGTTATTAATTGCAAAGAAGAGTAAAATTTGAAAATTATAAGGCTTGTTTGGCAATCTATTTTGAGAATATTTTTTTATTCCATAGAACAAAAAAATTAAAAATCTATTTGATAATGTATTTTAAAAAATTTTTTAGAAAACAAAAAAATAAAATATTATTCTAGAGAATAGAAAAATAAAAACATTTTCTAAATGTTATGGAATTATTGTTGTGGAGAATACAGAATAATGAGAAAAACGTTCATTTTCATTATTTTTTTATTCTGATCTAAAAAATATTAATTTTTTAAAAAATAAAATAAAAACAGCTTCAAACAAGTTCATATATATTTTTTAACAATTTCAAGATTCTAGCTAACAATTCTTAATAAGTGTGAAGTTAATTAACTTAATCTTCTGTTATACTCCTTAAGTTTTATTCATCTTTAACTTTATAACATTTTAGGATAAAATTAATAAAGTTTAAAAATTTTTTAAATTTAAATAAAATATGTTAGAAGTAATTTATAAATACAACATAGAAAAGTAACTAATTAATGTTGTGATGTTTGATTTTGTTGAAAAGGTGACATCAATGCTTGGGAAACACTATCATTCGGCGGACCTAGTAATATCTGGAGAATTCGCGTTCATGGGAATGAATTCTGGAGATTACGTGACATGTTTCTGGACAAATGCTCTTCACCATAACTTGACCGTTGATTTCGATTGGAAGATTGGTGTCGTGACCAAGGGTTGGTCTGAGGTTCTTAAGAAAGGTCAAATTGATGTGAGTCCCTTCCTCATAACTTCTACTTTATTTCATTTCACCCAATCGATCAATTAATAACATTATCAGGTAATTAATTTCCCTTACATTGTTTTTCTCATTCATATGCGTGGAACAGTTATTGGAGATAGAGCTGTGGAAGCTACAAGGAACTGTTTCTTCCATTCGTAACGAGATGCATTATCTTCGTTCAAGGTAAGCTTGCTCATTCACAATTCTATGTTGTGTTCCCTTTAATTTTGTTTATAAATCATTTTTAAATATATTTTATCAAGATCAAAAAAACCTTAAATCCTATTAAGTTTATCTTAAAATTTAATAAATTTTTACATTTATCCCAAATAGATATTCTTAAATTTTATTAACAATATTTTTATTCAAAACATTTTAATAAAGATAAAAATATAAAGAAGAGCATTGTGTATTAACAAGTACCTTATAAATAGGATCAAATTATTTTTTTTTCTCTCTTTACCCTATAAATAGGACTAGAAGAGTAATTTCTAAGGTTCTTTTTTTTATTATCATTTTTGGCAAATTAATTATCAAACTTAATTTAATAAATAATAGGGTTAAATTATATTATTTTAAAAGTTGAAGAGAAATATTTCATCCAAATAAGTCTAGAATTGAAAACATTTATGGACCTATAATTTAGAAGCCAATTTGATTTTATACCCTTAAAAATAAGGTCTTATTCATTATTTAGCAAATATATATTTATATGAATATGAATTTTGATGATTTAATATTTTAAAAATTAATCTACAAGTCCTTATAGTTTTCCTCAATTTTAAATTAAATCAATATAATTTATTATAATTTGATACATTAACTATGTTAATCCTCAAAGACTAAAATAATATTGAACTATTAACTTTCCCAAAATTGGTTTTTTTTTTTCATTTTTATTATTTTTTTATAAATAATATTAAACTATTAACTTTCCCAAAATTGATCATTTTTATTATTTTTTATAAAAATTATATATGTATAAAAGTTATTTAGAGGACAACCTAATTATTTAAATTTTGAAAGAAAAATTTTGAGGATACAAAATTTTATGAATCAAATTATAAGAATTTGATTAAAACAAAATAAATTATAAGAATCTAATTTAAAATTGATAATTTAAAAACATATTATCTAGTTCAATATTGCTTGAATTATGTTAAATACAAAAAAATGCAATACAATATTTTAAATTACATATAAAGTTGCACGATAGCCATTGCAAGAAAAAAGAATTTATAATTTTTTCAACATAATTTTTTTTTATCTACAAGGTTTAAATCCACCAGTCAAAAGGAATTATAATATATTTTAAACAAACATCTCACCGTCATACTAAGTTTGAGTTATTATTAACCATAATATAAAAATCTAGATCAATCTATTCAATTAAATTAATAAACTATTAAATTAGTATTTTGATCAGTTTAATAAATTTTTTTTATAATTGATTTGATCATAATTCAATTATAATTTTAATCATTAACCCTTTAATTAATATCTTTATCGGTTCAATAACTAGTTTAGTTTTAATATCTAATTTATTATTAACTCATTATTCATTAGTATTGTTTTTGTTTGCCATTTTTTTGTGGGAAAATGACAATTAAAGACCCTGTAAGAACATTAAGAACAATTATATACTCTAAATTATTAAAATTCTAATAACAAACTATAATCCTTACTTGCAATACATTATCTTCTATTGATTGGTTTGATATTCACAATGAAATTTAATAAATTCCTAACTAACGTTATAAAAATTTTCAACTATCTTTTATTAATTACTTAAATGATAGCAAAAAAATCACAAGTGACTAGCTTGCAATTTGTAGCTAATTTTTATAAATTCTCAACTAATGTTATAAATAATTCTAAATATATTTAAAGATTTTTCAGGTAATTTATCTATATATTAAAATAAAAAAATTAATGTATAATTTTGCCTTCAAACTATTCTCAGTGAAACAATATTGTCCTTAAACTATTCGTCATAGCAGTTACCTTTAAACTAATTAAATTGGAACAATATTGTCCCTTCTATTAAAACGTCCGTTACTGTAACTTGTAGGACTCACTTTTCATGAGTTAAGATGCAATTTTGCTCTTAAATTATTCTCAAAGGAGTAAAATTATCCTCATCATTTAAAAATCTTAAAATTTAATAAAAATAAAATTATAATAATATTAAATAAAATAATATTAAATGTGTATATAAAAATAAAATTATAATAATATTAAACACAAATAATATTAAATGTATATATAAAATAAATATAAGAAAAAAATATAAATTATAATTTTATAACTAGTCAAATATAAGTAAATTTTAATTAAATTAGATATAAGTAAACTCAAAAGTATATGCATTTATATTTATAATCATCATCTTTATAAAAAATAATCTCAAATCATATTTTATACATGTTAATTGTTCAAAAATAAAGTTAGTTTTTAGTAGGATCTAATTTTTAAATTTTTTAAAACTTTTTTAATATTATATTTAAAGCCATCCATTTTTTTGAAAATCGCTCCAATTTTCAATTCAATTTTAGTTTCTAACTTAATAATCGCTTAACTCTTGTTCTCATGAAAATAATTTTTAAGTCCAACTCGAGTAGTTAATGATGACCCCAATCAATAGTAATAGGTGTAAATATAAATATTTTTAAGTCTACTCATATTTAATTTAACCAAAACCTACTTATATTTAACAAATTATAAAATGATAATTTATAATATTATTCATTTATAATATTTTATTAATATACTATGAATTTTTTTCTTATATTTATTTTATACAAAGTTAATATTATAATAAGTTTGCATTTATATATACATTTAATATTATTTTATTTAATATTATTATAATTTTTTTATTTAATTTTATGATTTTTAAAAGGTGAAGGCAACATTGTTCTTTCGAGAATATTTTAAGGGCAAAATTACACCTTAACCTTAAAACAATTATAAGTAATTGATTTACAATTTACAAATAATTTTTGTAAATTCTTAATTAACATTATAAATAATCTCAAGTACATTTACTTAATTTCTTAAATAGTTTATAAGTATGTTGACAACAAAATATCAATATTCTTAACTAACTTTCATAAATTCTCAATTAACACTACAATATAGTCCTAAATATAGTTAATAAATTTTCTAACTGAACATTCACATTTTTTAATTACAAATAACGACCATATTCTTTTCTCAAAATTTTAATAAGTTCATAGGTATAATTGTCATTAATGTTTTTACAAGTCCTTAACAGTCATTTCCCCTTTTCTTATTTGCAATTTTATTTTGCTTCAGAGAGAAGGAAATGCAGGAGTTCAACATATCCACCAACGATGGAATGTTATGGTTCAGCTCACTTTCACTTCTTATCTGCTTATCCGTAGTGGGAATGCAAGTCTGGCACTTGAAAACCTACTTTGAGAGAAAGAAAATCCTATAATTTATTTTTAATTTTTTTTGTCACATTTATTCTTTACCTTTTTTTTTTTTAACCCTCAGAGCTGCCGTAGAATATGTAACAGCTTTATTCCAGTCAGCACAGGCTGTGCTATGTAAATTGTAGAGCTTGCAAATAATCATTATCTTTCATTTCCTTCAATACCTTTTATTCTCTAATTTATCAAATATTCTATCCATCTCATTATATTTATTTTTCAAGTTATTGCGCACAGACTAAAAGAATAATAAATACATAAAAATATGACATAATTTACAAAATTTTCCTTTCACTTAATGCCTCTAAGAATATTATAATAATAAATAGTAAATTACTCCAAAAATAAAACAAGAACATGTTAAAGATTGCTTTTGAAATTCTCAATGACTTGTAATATAACAAATATAATGAAATAGATGGATAATATTTTATATTATCTAGTGAGGATATCCCTATGAACTTGGCGGGCAGTGTTAAACATATATTGCATGTTTGATATGGGGAAAAAATATTTTGTAGAAAGAAAACGAGAAATTAATACACCTATCTCATTTTCTATTTAAATACATCTTCCTTTTTTTTTTCTTTCTAGAAGGCTTTTTTTTCATATGCCAAACATACATAGGTTTTCTATTTTGCTAGTGCTTTCCTCGTATCCTTCCTCGTGGCAAGAAATAAAATGTATAAATAAATTTGTCATGTGGATTTATGATGTGAAACAAGGGGGAAGACTGGAGAGAGTGAAAGGAGGTTGGAAGAGTTGAAATACTTTATTTAATCAATCAAAGGCTGACTATAATGAAAAATTCTAGCTCTATTTACAAAAACCTAGAAATATTAAAACTAATAATTTAATCCTAACCCTAATCTTAAAAATACTCCTTCTGATTAAAAATATAAATTTTTTTGAAGGATTAGATAATAAAAAATGTAAAGCATTTTTAACATTTTAAGATGTAATTAATATTTTTCTAAGTACTCATAATAAATAAATTACTTTATATTTATTTTAAAAATATAATATCCTATTAAATAAGGATAAATATGAAAAGATAATATTACTTTAAAAACAATTAACTACCTTATCAAAGGATGAAATCAATTAAAACTGCCTTGTATTTTTTAAAGGAGAGTAAACAAGATAATCTAAATAGATAAATATATCTTATTCTATTGAAAATAAATAAAATCTAATACTATCCTAAGAAAGACAATGATAAGAAAATCTAATTAAATCCTAATTCTAATATTATAGAAAATATCCAAGATATCCTTATTCAAATAAAATAACCTAAAAGCCAGGGTCTTGAAATAATCATAGATATCTAGAAATAACCCTAATTATATATAAACCAATATTTCATCATTCTAGTTTCTGAAACTTATCCATATAATTTGCTTCTGAAGTGTCTATTGCATTGTCCACCAAAAAAAAAAAGGAAAAAGCAAACAAACAAACAAACGGGCTGCCTGTTGTATTAACAGGCGGAAAAAAAAAGGGGGGGGGGGCTGCCTATTGTACTAACAGGCATGCTTGCCTATGCTAATCTTGCATCTAACCCATAGGGGTTAGGTTTAGAGAAAGGAGCCAATCCCTCACAATATAGCAAATTAAGACTCTAATTTTCAATGAAAAAGGTGTCTACATTTAATACCATGTCTCACACAAGATTGCCTCCAATAAAAGGAGACCTGTGAATATTGAAAAAGAAAAATCTTGCATCTAACATGTCTGTGAACTTCACAGACAGAACTAGCAATTTATAATTAATAGAAATGCTATGAATTAGAGTTTATAGAATCAATTTTGATCAAACATACACCACCACCATCAACAAGAAGAACAAGAAGCAGCATTATCTCATTACGTGGGAAAAGACACAATTTTGATTAAACATAAATATGAAAAATTGAATAAATATATGAACATAAATATCTGAATAAATTCGAGCACAATATTCTTCATTCTTTTTTAAATTTTGAGGGGGTGAGGACATCACAGTCCACAGCATTATTCTAGATAACAAACAACTGGAAATCATTTCAAGTCAAAAAATCCTGGGAGGTACAAACATAATCCATGAATAGAGGATATTATCCTTCAAACGAAAGACAATGCATTAATGAGTGGATGGCACGGTGTATATAATAATCTAATTTTCTCAGTCTATTTCTAAACTTAATCATATTTCATTCAAGCAACAACTTGCATACTTTAACTTAACTTGAATTCCTCATTAGGACTAGGTATGATATATAATAAAAAGAAAAAAATTGCAAAATATAAACCAGAGAAAAGCCATCAACAATACCTATTCTGCTCACCAGAATTTAAACAATTGAAAATAGGCAGTGTCTTTCCCGGTTTTACTGTAGAGAGTAATGATTAATGAGTAATAAATCACCTGTACGTGCATTTCTGAACGTGTAAATGGTCATAGACAATTAGGAAGAGAACAAGTGCCAGTGATGATCTGCGGGTAAATTTTCCTTGATCTTCTCAAGCCGTTTGAGGATCTCCAAGAAGGAAGGTCTTTGATTCATATCAGCACTCCAACACTCAATGGTTAATCTAAGTAAAAGTGAGAAGGAATCTATTAGCAAAATAACTCAATTCTCATCATGCCAATGCTTTCAATTGAGTTGAAAGTCCTAAAAGGTTTTAGATGTGATGAAATCTTGGTTATTGCACAAAGAGGAATGAGACCAAAAACAGCAGGAAAATAAGTATTTGTCGCATGCATTCACTTTATCCAAAGCACTTTGGCAAGTACAGATAAATGAGTCAGTTAAGTTGACGTACTTCTGCCATTAACACTACTCTAGTCAGGAAGCATAATGGTCACATTTCCTTACACATGTTTTGACCAGCAAAAATGGGTTTCTCTTGCCCTATTGGTGCACAAAATAGGTACTGAAAACTAGATTGGTTATTGAACTAGTTAGGGTACTAATTCAAGAGTTAATGGTCAAAATTGCAGTTGAACCATGATCAAACCAATCATAAACCAAGCATTTTATTAAATTAGTCAAGGCACTAGTTTAACAATTTACTAGTTCAACTAAGTGGGTTGACCTGGATTTTCATATTATGACAGAATGAAAATGAGTGAAATCAAAGATGAAAAAGGTGATTTTAAAGTTAAAGAATGATCCTTATGCCCTTGTTTTAACATAATCAAAAATATACAAAACGCTGAATATAACGATTATATAGACATTTGCATTGCCAAAAAATGGAGAGGAACGGATTCCAAATAGGCATTAATAGACATATTTGAGATATGACTCACTGTCGCAATTCAGGGGTAAAACCCTTTGCACGAATAGTTGGTCTGTTTCCTTCTGCTACTTGTTTGGCTGCATCATAAGGTTCATAACTTGCAAAAGGTGGTTCCCCTTCAAGCATCTAGTCCAGGTAAAAGTAAATGAATCAGAAGTAGCTTCAAATTGTATCACTTTAAACATCTATCTCGTAAGGAAGAAATATTACCTCATACAGAATCATAGCAAAGGAGAACACATCAACCTTTTTATCATATCTCCGGTGTCTGAAAACTTCAGGAGCCATATAGCGGTCTGTTTTTACCCCAAGCAGAAGAATCAGAAGAAATTTTGAATACAAATTATTACTTTTATTTTGACATAACTTATAAAAATACTCACAGCTTCCAGTTTCACCGGTCATCTTATAAACATCATGAGAATTCTTGACCTTGATAAGCTTACTCAGACCAAAATCTCCAACTTTTAAATGGTCTGCACTAGAATTGACTAAAAGGACATTCCTGAAATTTTAGGAAATAGTTTCAACATGAAATATAAATATTTATACATTCCAGACATATATTTTTATTTTCTTGATAACAAAGTTTTGTCATTCTAGGAGACGGAGAGCTGAGAAGCGCAAAATGCATGTCAATTTCTTGTAAATATATGCCTTGAGCCTTGGTTGTGTGTGTATAATGTTGTCACCTTCATAAAAGTACTTATTTTCATAGATAGGATAGAGATAACCAACTTGCCTTGGCTTTAGGTCTCGATGAATTATAACATTTGGTTCATTGTGAAGATAGGCCATCCCTCTGCAAACAATATTCACAACATTGACATTAGCATAGTGATTAGATTAAGCAAAGCTGTATGATTGCAGTGGCTTCTATATTTTCTAATGCTTTTTTTTTTTCAGAAGAAAAAAGAATGCTCTATGTAACGTCCTCATATTAACAACAACAGCATCAAAATTAATGATGTTTCCTTTTATACACCTTGGGATTATAATATATATAGAATAAAATATTTAAGCAGTTATAATAAAATATTTTGAGGATCTTGTACTAATTCTTAGTGCATATAAAATTGAAAACAGAAAATACACACATACACAAACACGTTTAAGATTCTCTATTTATTTATGTACATATTTTCTGAAAATATACCGAGTGATCCATTCCCTGCCATGTTTAATTTTCAGAAAGTGTGTTCTATTTTTGCCTTCTGTATTTTCCATGTCGCTTTTGGTAGACCGTGCATGCATGCAAATGCCTCTACAATCCATTTATCCATTTATATATGCTCATCTCAGAAACTCTTGCACCCACTCTCACACACTGACATCACTCACCTGCACATCCCACCACTTCACACACACAAATATATACATAGTTATATTAAAAAATGTTTTTTTTTTCTCTAATACCTTATTTTCCTCTTATTTGTGATGGGAGATTACTACAAATACTAAACCAAGATATCTAATAAAAAAAATTAATCAACAAAATCCTCATAAAGAAATTATCACAAAAAGAGAATAAGATATTGAACAAAAACATTTTTGAATATAACTCACTAAGAATAATTCACTTTCTCTCTCCTGCTGCTTGACATCTCAATCTACCCTGTCTCCATCACTTTTTTCCTTTCTGTCTTACTTTCACAACATTCCCTATTTAAGATTCATGTACCTTCGATCTCTTCTTTCTATTTGCCTTCATACCATGCATCCATGTAAGACAACTCACTCACTTATCTCTGTAAACTTTTACACTATTTTCACATTTTTATTCTAGAATAATATCTCACTCCCTATCCTATTTCCTTGCATCACACTAATTTGATTCATCCTTTTTGTAACCAATTTAAATATTTCTTTTTCTCAGCTTTTATTATTAATGATTCTTCAAAAATTCCATAGCTTTCCCTCTTAATGTGAAATCAACTATGTCCATATCGTCCTATTATATGTCTACATATTTTTTCTATTTTTGGCTCTGCATGTACAAGTATTGTTAAAGGCAAAATGTGCACTCAAGGTGCGAGGCCTATAAAACACCTTAGGTGCAAGGTACTACAAAGGAGCATGCCCAAGTAAAGCAAGGCGCTACCTTGTGAAAATTCACAATGTATAGATAACAAATCATGAGATAAAATAATGAATGTGAATTTACTTAGCCTTCATATAGATGCTCTGAGAAATTGTATCATATGAAGAAAACAAAGATAAAAGTAGCAATCATGTAAATCATAAGCTATTACAAAACAATATAAATTGTTGTAATGATCAATCAAGTTCAGAAAGTGTTTTGAAAATATGAAAGAATAATATAAAAGCCCATCAAATATCAAACTAGATATCTGAATCAAATTCAGATGCACCTAGCTCAATACTTTCTTCTCCTTCATTTTTGACTTTATATCCTTCAATGTCTTCCTCTAACTCATCTGAATCAATATTAGCCTCAGGTTTCTCAATATTGGCAATTGATCTTGAGCCTTTTATTGTTTGTTTTTCTTTCGATTTAGATGAGCTAGCTCCTTTTCCTTTACTTTGGCTTCTAGTTTGTTTGCCAGGTTCCACAACACCTGCTACTGTTGCTACAACACCCCCATGCTAAGTCTTCATTGTTATCATTGCCAAAAACATGTTCATTTGTTGCATCATCATTGACATCCATTATATCAAGTAGCCATTCATTGCTTTCATCAACGTTTACTAAGGAAATAGGGTCTATATCTTGGCTATCACACATTGATAAACATGGATGAAAGTAGTGAATGGCTACTTGGTAAAATGAATGTCAATGAGGATGGAATAGATAGACATGTTTTTGACAATGTTAACAATGAAGACTTAAACATGAGGGGTCGTAGCAACAACATTACATGTTAATGAATATTGTAAACAAACTAGAAGTCTAACTAAATGAAAAGGAGCTAGCTCATCTAAATCCAAAGCAAAACAAACAACACAAAGCTCAATACCAATTGCCAATATTGAGGAACTTATAGCTAATTTTGATTCAAATGAATTTGAGGAAGATGTTGAAGGATATAAATCCAACAATGAAGGAGATGAAAGTCTTGGCTTAGTATATATAAATTTAATTCAAATATCCAGTTTGATATTTGATAGGCTTTTGTGTTGTTCTTTGATGTTTTCAAAACAATTCCTGAAGTTCATTGATCATTAGAGCAATTTATATTGTTTTTTACCAGCTTAAGATTTAGATAATTGCTACTTTTAAATATGTTTTCTTCATATAACACAATTTTTCAAAATATTTATATGAAGGTTAAGCAAATTTACATTTATCACCTTATCTATATTTGTTGTCTATACATAATGCATTTTTACATGATAGCACCTTACTTCACTCAAGCGTGCCCTTCTAGCACCTTACACCTAAGACGTTTTATAGGCCTTCTGACTTGAGTGTGCCTTTTGCCTTTGACAACAATAAGCAGGCCTGAAAGCAACAAGATAATACATCAGATAGCTATCTTTTCACACATTTAAAAGTTCCTTAGAAGCCTGGGAATCAGTTTTCTGTCATCTTTATTTTTATGAACAATGGCTTGTGCAGCCTGCCCTTTTTGGCCATCCATTGTAAAGGCTTTGCCAGAATAGAAGAGTGTGAAGTCTTTTGGAAATGTAGCTTCTTTGCACTGCTTTGGTCCTATTGCTGGAGGCATAATACCAGATTTCTTCACCAGAGATTTCTCCCTATGCATATTATAAGGGAAAATTGTTTTCTTGGCCCCTATTTGGGTGAGTGCAGTTTTCTAAGGGAGCAGTGTGTTTCATTTCCTTTGCTCTATTTTTGGGAGGACTTCTTATACTCCTTCCATGCAAGTCATTTCTTTTCACAAATTTATGGGGAAGACAAAAGGAAAAAGAAAAGAAAAGAAAAGAGAAGGGGGAAGAGAGAAGGAAGGAAAGGCATATACCTGGCCATATCCAAAGCAAAGTTGACAGCTGTTGAAGGACTGAGTGTGCCTTTTTCCTTGAGATATTGATGAAGATCACCCTGCATATGACACAATAATTTGAAGAGCTCCCTTTCCAAGCATAAGTTCAATGCACAGACTACAGAAGCTGGATGGACAATGTGCTAAACTGAAAGTAGATGCATGCATTCACATACCCCTCTTAGATACTCAGTGATTAACAAAAGGGGCTTCTTTTCGGTTACAGCTCCAAGAAACTGGACTATATTAGGGTGTCGAACCTTCACTAGCAAATTAACCTCATGCCTGAAGTCCTGGCTGCATTAAAAGTTAGCCGCACAAAAAGAGAGGTTGAGTGATTGCCCATTTGACTTCGCAGAAAAATCCAGAACAGAGGTGAACAGTTTATTACTGCAAAAGTATCAGCTTAATAACAGTGTGTCTCTATCTCCCCCATGGCACAATGGATTAAGAATTTATTATTCTTCCTTAAGAGAGAGTAGGTTAAAAGAGGAATAAGCACAATCAGCAAAAGCAGATCAGCTAGTTCTTTGAATGGATCTTCATAGACTTAAAAAAGAAAGAAGAATTAATCTTACATCACCAATCTATCATCTGAGAGAGATGGAAGAATACGTTTGACAGCAACAGGCGTTCCACGCCAATGTGCTTTCAAAATTTCACCAAAAGATCCCTGCAGAAAACGTACAGAACAAACAACGCCATATTTCATAGGCAAATGTTCATCAAAAGCTTAAATGTAAAATGCAAGTGGAAAGATAAAGCTAGAAAGGCACAAATAAAAGAGCAAGAACAACAAGCACTAAAAAAAAAAGAAGAAAACACAATGGCTTTGTTTCTTTTATAAATCATAAAAAACCTTCAAGACTAAATTGCAGCCCTTCAATGACCACAACAAAATGGACAAAAATAGGAAGACAACAAAAATTGAAGTTAGTTCAAATGGCCCGATTTATAGCAGAAAGCCAAGTATGCCTACAAAGGCTATAGCGCGCAACTTCAGATCCAAAAGCATAACAGGGTTAATACCTGACAGCAATATACATAAAGAAACTTTTGCCAAAATGTGTGTGTGTGTGTGTGTGTGTGTGTGTGTGTACGTATGTTAGGAAAACCCAAACTTTGATGCAATCAAACTGTTTCCAGCTTGGTCGCCATACACAGTTTAACGTCAGACACAGAAAATGTAAAAGATACCTTTCCAATGCGAACTGAATTTGTGAAGTCCAGCTCAGAAGGGTCTATTTCCCAATCACACTTGTTAGGCAGTGGAGGAGCAACAGGCTTTGGTTCAAAATGGCTTCCAGTTTGACCCTGTATGATCAATGATTAGAAATAAAGAGCTACAAAAAATAATAAAAACAACTAATCAATCAATAACAGAAGGCTCAGTGTTAGGTTACTAAGATTCATAAAGAACAAGCTACTAAGTAAACGGTAGAAATTAAAAGTAACACAATATTAACAAATTAATTAGCAAACTGCAATTTATCGCCCATCTTAACCTAATGCACACATAAAAGAGGAGAGAAAAGGAAAAATATTGAAGACAGGCTATCAAAGCCATACACAAGTATCGTATCCCACAACTTCAACCTGGTTGTAACAAAACATCCATATGTTGCATAAACTTAAAGATTGGAATCAAAGTATAGAATGTACTATATGGTTTGAAAAGCTACCAATTAATTTTCCCCAAAAAAGAAAAAGTGTGGGGGATACGTTAAAGATAAAATCTAAAATACACAGATAAAAGAACAGAGATTTTGGTTAAAAAAAAAAAAGAGAAAAGAAAAAAAGTTATCCTAAGTAACACTGAAAAGTATTGACAAGCAAAGCAGGAGCACAAAAAAAAGAAAAAAGAAAAAGAAAGGTTCCAAGGTCCTTTTTTAAGAGAAACGAGAACTTACAAAAGACAAGCCTCCATGAGATTTTAAAAGCTCCACCATGTCAAGCTTTTGAGCGCCTTCTGCATCAGCTAGAGGCTGTTTTTTTTTTGGTTAGGAGGGGATCAAACTTTCAGACATTGATAGAGCTCAGAAATCTTAATTACCAAAAAAACAAAATGTAGTTCTGTGTCATAATTAGAAAGAAAGGCAATACAGTGTTTCTCCAGCGATCCTGCGCGTTTACATCGGCACCATATTCAAGCAAGCACTTAGCAACTTCGACCCAACCATGGAGAGAAACCACGTGAAGCGGCGTGCGATTGTCATAATCTCTGGCGTTCACCAGCGACCGATCCTCCTCGAGAAGCCTGCGGACAGAAGCGGCGTCGTTTTGATGGGCATGCCACAAGATCAAAGAGGTGCGATTCACCCTGGCCTTATCCTTCTGCTTGTCCTTGTCTAGCCCCGATGCACAGCCGCCAGACGACTCGGCGCCGGAGGTGGAGTTATCGGAACTCATGGCGCGGACTGAGGGATCTGATGGATCCAGTGGCCGCAATTGTGGGAGAGAACCAAAACAATGAGTAAGAATTGAGTGGGAGAAAGAGAAACGCTAGTTATTTCGGTTAAGTTGTTGGATTTTGTGGCTACTTTTTTGGGGATAAAGAATCGGATTGACTTTGATTACCGTAGCGATCAAAAGGTCGGGGGAGAGGAATAGTTGGGGAGCCTAGGCTTCGTAGGTTCCAAGACGTCATCTGTGAAACTGAATGTGTCGGCTGTAGTACTTTTAACTCGTTAACAGGAATAGCTATTGGGAAAATCTCATTCAAACATTTATGGTTTGATTTGAAAATAATTTTAAATATAAAAATTATAATATACTTATTTATTTTTTAAACTTATCCACTAACCAACTAATAGTTTTTATTAATTGAACGTGAATAAATATTTATTAATTAATAAATAATTATTTATTAAAATATAATCCTTCCTACAACATGATTTTTTTAAATTTTTAAATTTATTAATTAGTGAAGATTTCTTATTAAATGTAAATATAAATAAATATTTATTAATTAGCGAGTGACTACTTATTGAAACATTATCTATATTTATCTATTCTCATAATTAAGTTCTTCTATATTATTAAATTTGTCAGTTAGTAAATAATTTTTTATTAAATATGAACTATTTCCCCAGTCTCTACATATAAGATATTTTTAATTGAATCACGCAAACTTATAAAAATTTGTTATCTACCTAAAAGCATAGTAACATTTCAATTTTGCACTTAGTTACTATAAATAAAAAATGAATCTCTTTTTTCAAAGTAAATTAATGAAAATACTTTTTCTCTTTTCAATTTAATAAGGGTATAATGGTCAATTCATTTAAAAAATATGCTAATAACCTCTTATATTTAGGAACAAAAAAGAATCCAAAAGACTTCTTATGTATAGAGAAAGAGGGAGTAGTAATGTACCCGTGCAATGTACAAATCATGTATAACAGTATTTTTTAAATAGGTACTAATTCTATAGGAGAATTTTTTTCGAAAGAATAACTTATAATATACATTCTCCATATTATCTTATATATAATAGGCTGTATAATTATTGTCATTAATATTAAATATACATATTAGAGTATAGAAAGTTATAAAACTAAAAGCATATTGTGTAAACGGGTATAATGAAAAGTAGATTAACAAAAAATCACAATTATTTAGATCAAATTATTGAAGTCATTCCTATAAATAACATTAGAAGTTTTATCCATGGAGCGGCTATCTTTATTAAGAACCAATATTTTTAACATTTCCTACTTCAAACACAAGAAACAGCAACATATTATTGATTGTGAGTGAAAATAAGACAGAGCAGTTACCAATCAACATGACATTGGCTTTGGTGCTAGCTCTTATTAATGGTCATTTCAAAGACCAACATAATGAGGTATTGCCTCCTTTTCATAGTAAATGACAATATAAAATCAGATAGACACATAGCAATATGCAGTATACATGCTCTTGTCCCTACATTTGATCCAGATGTTACTTGGATCTCAATAATATGTTTTTCAATTTGTGTAATTACAAGATTGTACTATTGCTCAATTCTATAAATTTATCAATGTTCCACATTAAAATAATTAGGGCACCTACTTTGGCCTTATTTCATGATTCAAGTGGTGTTGTATTGCAATTGAATTTATAAAATCTTTAGAGTACAGATGAAGCAAGCTCTAATGTTGAAGTAGGCTCTTTAGACTTTCTTGGAGTTTTGATCCTCTTAGATGATTAAGAAGGTGATACTTCCTTCACTAATTAGAGCCTTTGTGAATTTCCTCTTCCTTGTTACCTCCTCATTGGCTCTCGTTCCAGTATCCTTGGTTCTTGCCATTTTAGAGATTTTTGAGAGAAGAGATAGGTTTAAGTTGAAGATTGAGAAGAAAGTAGATGAGGTGAGGAACAAAAAGAAGATTAGAAGAAGCATGTAAAGAAATTCAAATGCCACAATAGCTAAAGAAGATTCAGGGAGGTAGTTAAGAATGAGAGAAAGTATAACGGCTAGAAAAATGAATGTTGGTTTACGTGTGAAAATGAAGGGTTGATAGGGAAGATATATATAGGTATTGCAGGATCACGCATGAGGCAAAAATTGTTTCACGCGTGATTCAGCACCTATTTCAGACTAAGTGCTATTTCTCGCTTGTGATATGATGGTTTCATGCATGATTTAGCACTATAGTTAACATTCAAATTTTACACATTCAATATAGGTAAAATCATGTGTGGTCACAAGTAGTCTTCACATGTGAAATGATCAAGTCAGAATACAATTCTCTCGAGAAGACATTTCACGTAAGTAAGACTTTCTTCTTTACGTGTGATTTAGCACAATTCAAGGAGGATGAAACATTGTGTGATATTTCATACAAGCAAAATTATCTTCTTCACATGTGATTTAGCACAATTCAATAAAGATAGCATCCTGAGTGCTATTTCAAGCAAGTGACTAAGCATATTTCACACATGAAAATGCAGCTATATAGAAAATATCATAGAATAAAGCATTTTCACGCAAGATATGGCATGTAAACTGGTAAGAAATGTCCTAAAATAATAATAACTATTCTCTAAAGCAAAATATACTTGACCTTCTAACCTCTTTCTTTAAAATTCAACTTGATCCATTCTAAAGAAGCTAAGATTCACAGATTAAGCCTTGCAAAAATAACTTAAAACAACTCCAAAGTTTAAGTTAGTAAAAGATTCAAAATGTAATACAATTGAGTTTAAGAATCTTACAACTCATTGGGATTTACCACTCCCAATTCCCTTCTAATGAATGTGAACTCTCTTCAGCTAGAAGTTTGGTGAAAATATCTACTAATTGCTCGGTAGTGGGAATAAACTCTAGTATGATATCCCTCTTTTACACATGATGTCTTACAAAATGATGTCTTATATCAATGTGCTTGGTTCTTGAGTATTGGATAGGATTCTTGGCCAAGTTTATGGTTCTGGTGTTATCACATCTAATTAGAATCTCCTTGAGATGAACTCCTAAATCTTCTAATTGCTATTTTAACAATAGAATTTGTGCACAACAGCTTCCAACAACCAAGTATTGAGCTTTATAAGATGATAAGGACATGTTATTTTACTTCTTGTGAACCATGACATTAATGAGCCACCAAAGAACTTATAAGTTCTACTTGTGCTCTTTTAATCTGTCTTACATTTTTCATGATCAACATCTGAATAAGTGATCAATTTAGGCTTTTCTCCTTTTAAAAACTAAAGTGCCAGTTGTAGAGTCCCATTAAATACTTGAAGATTCTTTTCACAACCTTTAAATGAGATTCTCTTAGATAAGCTAGAAATCTTGCACACATATAGACACTAAACATGATATCAAGTCCGCTTGCAGTTAAATGAATAGTGATCTAATCATTTGCTTGAATTTAGTTTGATCTTCCTTCTTTCCATTTTCATCCTTATCTATCTTGATTGAACATAAGTAAGTTGCTTAGATTTGAATTTTCAAATCCAAACTTCTTCAATAGTTCATAAGTGTACTTGGTTTGGCTTGTGAAGATCCCATCCCTTATTTGCTTGATTTGCAATCCAAGAAAGAAGTTTAGCTCTCCCATCATAGATATCTCAAATTCACCTTACAAAATCTTAGCAAATTTCTCACAAAAGACCTCATTAGTAGCTCCAAAAATAATATCATCAATATAAATTTGAACTATAAAAATTTACTACTTTTAGTTTGATAGAATAAAGTTTTATCCATCATTCCTCTTTTGAAGTTATTATTTAGCGGAAAGTACTTAGCCTGTCACATCAAGCTCTTGGCGCTTGCTTTAGTTCATACTATGCTTTCTTCAATTTATAGGCATGATTTGGCATTGGTGGATCTTCAAATCCTAAAGGTTGTTTTACTTAAACTTCTTCATTGATTAATCCATTCAAGAAAGCACTTTTGACATCCATTTGATGAAGTTTAAAATCTTTAATGCATGCAAAAGCAAGTAGAAGTCTAATAGCCTCAAATCTAGTAACATGAGCACATGTTTCATCATAATCAATACCTTCTTCTTGATTATAATCTTTAGCTACTAGCTTGGCTTCATTTCTTTCCACAATACCAATTTTATCAAGTTTGTTTCTATAACATCTTAAATTTCTAATCTTGTGTTAATGACTAATTACAAAATGAATTAGTAACTTAATGTGAGATTAGTATTTTAGGTAGTGAAGTATTATATTGACTCCTTGGGATGTTATATGAGGTCTCGTGGTAGAGCATGTGAGTACAGTGAAGATCTCCCTTACTGTGCCACGCGCCACTTTGCATGGTGTAGAAATCAAGTAAAAATGGACATGTCTGCTTATGGAAAATAGAAGAAGAAGCAGAGAAAAGAGAGTCAGACCTGAGGAAGAGAAGGACATCTATTAGGGCAAGTGAAATCAGGAGCAAGGATGACACTTCTGACTTATTACTTTTTGGGTTAGTCTCGTAATGCCTTAACCTCTGATTCTTAGCTTTAACTAGTGAAAAATTGAATTTGAAAGTTTTAAAGAGTTGATTTCTTACCCTATAATATTAGAAAGGTCCTCTAGGACTAAACTAATACTTTGCAACTAGTTTAAGTTGGAACAATAAAGTTTTGAAGCTATAAGCTTAATTTGACCTAAGTTAGAGAGACAATAGTGAGAGAGAACTTGATTTTAAGGAAGATAATGGTTGTAGTGAGTGATAATTAAGCATGATATGAGTGGGTAAATGTGAATTGTGGAAGCGGTAATGATTAGGTGTTAAATTACTGTATTTGACACTTTTAGCTATGCAAAATGGGGAAGGAGAAGGGGGAGAGAATATAGAAAAGAGAGAAAGGGATCAATAAAGAGAATAAAGAAAAGAGAAAACTCAGAGAAGAGATAAGATAATATTAATTTTTATTCAATCAAATGTGTGTTTACAAAACAAATGAACTAAGATGCTATTTATAAGCCTCAAATTAACCCTTGAATCAAATGTAAGAAATTCTTAAAATCTTAAAATTAAATGTAAAGATAATAATAATTTAAATATTATGATAATTAAAAAAAATTTCCTAATTAATAAAATATCCTAATAAAAATATTTGATCTTCCAATCTTCTCAAATATTTAATGTCTTCAATTACTTTCTTTTCTTTTTCTTCCCATCATTTAGTCTATAGAGTAATTGACTTTGGGTGCCTAAATTGTGTAAATTCTTGTGTGC